AGTTTGGTTTAACATTAAATGTTGTATAGTTTTGGTCACACAAATCAAACTTGACATTATATCTAACTTACTTGTTATTTAGCTGGTCCTAAAACATTTTCACACAAGACTTGGTTGATTTAATATTTTTTATTTGTTCACTTTGACGTAGCTGTAAATGAGGTACATTTGGTACATTAGAGGTCTTCGTAACACGGTAAAACTGCACGTCATATGATAAGTTCAATTAGCTAATAATATATTTTCCCTATTAGCCGATCGCTTTACAGACTTTCACCATGTTACACTTGATGTCATTTCCCGTTATCTCTCCGTCACGTGTAATATTGTAATTTGAAATGGATTGCGCTTTAGAATTGTTTCTAATTGCCGATAGAATTTTATAGAGATTGTCGTGTTTTTCTTAAAGCTAAAAGCACATTTCATGTGGATTTCTTAAAGATGTCTGGTATCAATGACTGAATTTCTTGTTAATTATTGTGATTCATTCATTTTCTTGTAAATCCATTAGTGGGTATTAGCTTGATGACTGATCGATTCACTACCATACCTGTATTGCTTCTTTGAGTAAAGAAAACAATGAAATCAAATCCAGCAGGAAGCAGCCGTAAAATAGCAACTGAATAGTTTTTGTCTCGCAAACTTTTAATCTGTGTGATATTGCTAAACGGTTTAGCTTTAATGCATTCAACAATCGCATTAGACTTTTTACCGACCAAATTAACTCAGTTAAAGCCGCCACAAAAAATAGGGCATGGTAGAAATCAAGTCTTTATCTTGGAGTTGTATTCTAGGATTATATACATCATGTATTAATAATAATAGTACTCATAATTTTATATATATTTTGCCGACAAGACTATATTGGCGTATTAAAAGAAAAGTTAACTACGCAGACATTTTAATCTTATGGATTCAGATTAGTTGACGAAAAGTTTTTGAAAAGTGACACAAGTGAATCTATCTAATGTTTTCTCACTTCTCAATGTATTCCATTTTCTCTAACAACAAACAAATATCCGCCATATCTTAGCGAACTAGCAAAATAACGATTTCGTAATCTCGGATCCTAAAACTCACAAATAGCAAATCGATGGCAAAACAATAACAAAGTCAGAATTATTGGCATTTTAGAAAAAAAAGAATTAAGTAATCTTATACTGCAATACTCTGTAGTGAAAATTGAAAGGAACAGTAATGTTAAAATGTCAAACACTGAAGAAAAGCAAAATAATATAATGACATGTACGAGACGTTGTTACAAGGTGTACACTCTTTAAAGCTTTTGACCTTGCTCGACACCACTACAAATGTATACCTTTATTTCCATTTAAACGCAATGTAACATCTTAAACACTTCTGTAATCGTGATCTGATTATATAGTTGACTGTTGTTGGTAAAACAACCACTTGACGTGAGATGACTGCGTCGGTGTATTTTCTTCCCCTCAAACAATATCATCAAATACTCGCCATAGCGTAATGTTTAAAACGTTGAAAAACGAAAACAGCAAACGTTTATTGACTAATACCAACGATACTAGTTAGCACAAATACAGATAAAACAAAAACGTCTCATGTTTTCTTAATTTCATAGTAGTATTGAGGATAAAATAAAATAATAATAATATAATACAATGTACACTAATTCTAATAATAACACATAGTTACTTCTAGCATCATATACCTGTAACATCACATACCTGTATCATGAAATGCATATGACATCACATACAGCACATACCTGTAACATTACATAAATGTAATATCACATAGATGTAACATTATATACATGTAATATCACATACCTGTAACATTATAAACATGTAATATCACATACCTGTAACATTATATACATGTAATATCACATACCTGTAACATTATATACATGTAATATCACATACCTGTAACATCATATACATGTAATATCACATACCTGTAACATTATATACATGTAATATCACATACCTGTAACATTATATACATGTAATATCACATACCTGTAACATTATATACATGTAATATCACATACCTGTAACATTATATACATGTAATATCACATACCTGTAACATTATATACATGTAATATCACATACCTGTAACATCATATACATGTAATATCACATACCTGTAACATCATATACATGTAATATCACATACCTGTAACATTATATACATGTAATATCACATACCTGTAACATCATATACATGTAATATCACATACCTGTAACATTATATACATGTAATATCACATACCTGTAACATTATATACATGTAACGTATCTAAATTGTCCTATAATATCACATACCTGTAACATTATATACATGTAATATCACATACCTGTAACATTATATACATGTAACATCTAAATTGTCCTATAATAAGATACTTCTAACATGTCATACCCCCTAAAATATCTCTAAAACAAAATACCTGTCAAACAACCTACCTCTAAAATAATACTATAATAATATATCTACTTATATAATAGCATACGTCTAAAACAACATACCTCTAAAAACACCTCTATCATTTCATTTCAAAACCTCCAACAACACATATTTATAACATATATCACATCTTACTAACATAAAATATCTCATACACAATATATTTTTAACACCACATATTTTTTTAGCATCATATTTTAATATTATAACAGACCACGTTTTAATTTTGGTTATATGTTATTACACATTAAGGTAATATGGCTATATTTTCCAGCTTTGTTGGTCAAGAAAGACCTCGGGTGCTCCTCCATTCATCGAATAACTTTAGCATTGAATATTTCTAACATTTAATATATCTAACATCAGATCTTTCTTACATTAAATATATTTAACTTTTAATATATCTAACATCAAATACAATGAACATAACATATATCTAACATCAAATACAATGAACATTACATATATCTACATCAAATACAATGAACATAACATATATCTAACATCAAATACAATGAACATTACATATATCTAACATCAAATACAATGAACATTACATATATCTAACATCAAATACAATGAACGTTACATATATCTAACATCAAATACAATGAACGTTACATATATCTAACATCAAATACAATGAACATTACATATATCTACATCAAATACAATGAACATTACATATATCTACATCAAATACAATGAACATTACATATATCTACATCAAATACAATGAACATTACATATATCTACATCAAATACAATGAACATTACATATATCTAACATCAAATACAATGAACATTACATATATCTAACATCAAATACAATGAACATTACATATATCTAACATCAAATACAATGAACATTACATATATCTACATCAAATACAATGAACATTACATATATCTACATCAAATACAATGAACATTACATATATCTAACATCAAATACAATGAACATTACATATATCTAACATCAAATACAATGAACATTATATATATCTACATCAAATACATTTAATATCAAATATGTTCTTATCATAAATAATTTATAACATTAAATATATATATTTTTTTCACATCAAACATCTCTAACATCAAAATCTATTTCTCACATCAAATATTTTTAACATTAAATATGTATATTTTCACATCAAATGTATTTCTCATATCAAATATTTCTAATATCTAAGAGTATTTAAAAATTACACTTCACACATAACGCACATGTATGAAAGCGCACTTCATTTCATTGATTTTGAAACCATGTAAAACCGAGTACAAGTTAAGAAAAAATTGCATCAGAAAAAGATTTAAAAAATGTAATAAACTCTTTCAACATAAACTAGATTTAGGCCATCATAAACAAATAAAACAAATTCTAAGTTTCTCAATATAAAAGAAATAGGTAAGTTTATTATTACAATACAAAAAGTAAGTTTATTATTACAATACGAATATGTAATTTTATTATTACAATACAAACAAATAAGTTTATTATTACAATACAAATAAGTAAGTTTATTATTACAGTACAAATAGGTAAATTTATTAAAATAGGTAAGTTTATCAATACAGTACAAATAGGTTATATATAATATATTACAAATAGGTATGTTTAGTATTACAGTACAAATAGGTGAGTTTATTTTTACAATACAAATAGGTAAGTTTATTATTACAATACAAATTTCTAAGTTTATTATTACAATACAAATGAGTATGTTTATTATTACAGTACAAATAGGTAAGTTTATTATTACAATATAAATAGGTAAGTGTTTTATTACAGTACAAATAGGTAAGTTTATTATTACAATATAAGTAGGTAAGTTTATTGTTGCAATACAAATAGGTAAATTTATTATTACAATACAAATGGGTAAGTTTATTATTACAATACAAATGGTAAGTTTATTATTACAGAACAAATGGGTAAGTTTATTATTACAGAACAAATAAGTACGTTTATCAATACAATACAATACAAACAGATAAGCTTATTATTACAATACAAATAGGTAAGTTCAGCAATACTATTGTATTACAAATAGGTAAGTGGTAAGTGTATTATACATAGCCAACATCTGGGTTGCTTTTGCAAATCAAATCTCACAATTGATAAATGCATGTACACATGTTAATATTTAAGATTAACGTAACATCTACACTAGAATTTATCTTCGACCATACACATAAAAGAGCTAACTTAGAAAATTATGTTATAATGAAATATATTAGATTTATAATATTTAGGTGAATGATTAAGCAAGAATCATGATACGGTGTACTTGTTAGTGATACCAACACGCTTGTACACAGTACACTAAAAACAGAGGCACGTGTTTCAGTTCCTAAGCATGAAACATCGTCATTATTGAATTGTTTATGGATTCCAGTGTTTTGTCTGTCCAATAGTCAAGTCACGCCTCTTCTGTCAAACTGATGCTCACCTAGCAACGGATTAGCCAATGATAATAGAGCATTCTCTCCAGCAGGGCTGTTGCTAGACGGTGTTTAAGAGTGCCCTGAGATATCATTATCTCTCTATAGTTTTGTAAAATAGCTGTGAGCATCTAGGGTGATTATGGATTAATTATTAATACTGCTGTTTTGATAATTGAACATTGCTGATTCTATCAGATGTAATGCGAGGTTTTCAAAGTTTCACAGATTTTGTAAGTATAAGTTTGATGTGACTGACACTAAAGTTTTCAAAGTAAAATCCTTTTTTTTTCCTTTAAGATTGACAACTTTAATTGACTCTAAAGATGGAAATATTTTTCATTTCAATTTAAACTAATAATATTTATATATAAATAATGTACCAGGTTTTTTTTCTTTCTTTCAAAAACACGTATTTGATAATATTCATACACAAATATGACAACATATAATTATAAACTTTTCTGTGATTAATATGAAGAAATAAAATACAAAATAGTAGATATAACAGGCAAATATTAATTTAATGTGACTCTGATTATTGTACTATTTTATCAATCTTTTTTAAGATATATTAAATATATTATCTGCTGATTATACTTAGATCATTTTGTAACGCATTGATTCAAGTACAAAATAATTATAAAACTTCGAACTATTCAATCTGAAAATAAAAGTGAAAAGGAATACATTTCTCGAAAATTGACACCTTTTACTGTCTTCATATTCTTTTGAACATCTTCAAATAGCTGTTTGATTACTACACTTTACAAACAAATATTTAAATATTCTTAGAATATTATTTATAAACTGTCATAACGTAAATATGCTAATATGCATAGTTAAAGCAGGCAACGCACCACACTTAATTCTTTTCGACGAAAAAAAAGGAAACTTCTCAAAGACAGCTAAATAAAAATAGTTAAAAAGAAATAGATTAAATTAGAACATATTTATCCTTAAAAAATAGTTTGCGTTTTAAGTTGACGACAGATCTGTTATATTAACAGAATATTGTTCATAAGATATGTGAAAAGAGAGATTTTCTGATACTATATATAAAGTTTGTATTTGCCAAGCGAATTTTTATTTGACCTCAGTAAACAGTAAACAACTAAATTCATTAATGAGAAATTATCCAGATTATTTTTAAAATAGGTCGTTATGTACTTTAATCAAGTGAATTAACAAACATGCTTCATGCAATTTAAGGTAGCTGTGTCGTACTATGATAACGGAAATAACCGTGTTATAGCTGTGAGGTACAAATGCCATCTTGTGTTTCCTTTTGCACTGATAGAAGACATATAGAGTTATTTCAAACTTTTGAAGAGCAGTTCATCATCAGTATATGTATTGAAGTAATTTGTAATTTTTTCGCGGCCTTCGAACAAGATCCAGCCAATTGTATGCGACTTCTTTTCATTTTGCCTTTAAGTGATAATAGATATATCTAAAATCCCTTACCAAGTCATCGGTAATAAAAACATATTTTGTATTTTATAAACGGTTACTCATCTAAGAGAAATGTAAAATTTGAAAATGTTAAGGAAGTTAAACGTTCCCGCCTTTTATTTATAGTGTTATAAAATAAAAATAAAAGTTTAAGCTGTAACTCATGAACTACAAAAGTGATCGTTTGGTATGTTTGTTTCTAACCAGAAAATACCATTATATAAAATAACTGTACAATGGTACATTACTGCGCAACCGTAAAACATGAGTTCATAACAGAACAGTACAACGGTAAAACTTTATATCATAACATTGTATTACTGTACAACGGTAGCCAACTTCTTAACAGACAGTAATCGTTAAGGAATTTTCAAATTATGAAACATTAGAAAAAATGATACGTTGAAAGTGCTTTTAGTTGAATTGTCTTTAAGTAACGTTTATATCTCAATCGATGATATCAGAGACAACTTAGTTTTAATTCCTCATAAGTAACAGTATTTATAAAGTTATCATAAGTAACAGTATTTACAAAGTTATACAAACACCTATATAATACAGATTTCACTTGCAAAGGAATAAAGTTTTGTTTTAAGGACCTTTGAGCTCGAAAAATGCTTTAATTTCTATTTTTCAAAAACCTTATCTACAGTTTCAAAAAAGTACTCATTCGGCGTATAGCTGAGTCATCAATTGCTTCTCAAGTGTTTTGACAATTAGTATAGTTAAAGTGTTTGAGTATTTTGTATGGAACCCAAAATACTACTTTGTTTACACTGTGCTTTCTTATGACCAATTATTTCACAGGCGATAAGCACAAAACACCCTCTAATCCATTATTGCAACATTTTAAAACACGCGATTGCCATTTCTAAAGAAGGATATATGTATTAATTTCTGAGGCATTATTTGCCTTTAAATCATGATAAAATGTTAAATTTAGTACATGCATTTACATGCATTTGACCCGTGAACCTGTATTAATTTTTAAAACCTTATGCAGATGCCAGTTAGATCGTAAAATACATCTTTATTCAACATACTAAATTCACACATGTAGTAACCACAAAATATGTATAAAAACAAGTTTGTAAGATGATTGTTGGCATCATCACTTGTTATAACTTTAAAGAAATCATAACTTCGGAAACACATATTTTATCTTTCTTTTTATATAAATGGAAAGGAAATGCGAATACTGCAAAGTATAAGCCATGACTTTTGTTCATAATATGTAACATATATGATGCAGTTAAGTCTTGAGTTTTCATTCATTCATTTTGAAAAAAAGATGGTTTGTAGGTAACTTAAAAATGAAACGATTATATTGTTTTGTAAACATAAATCAAATTAACGTATGTAATACGGGAAATAAGACGCAACTCATGGGTAAATACATCACAAGTCATGGGAAGTAGGGAAATAACTAAATACATGGAAACAATTAAAGAAACACAATTCACTGGAAACAATCTAAAGTATCACAATTCTTAAAAAAATATATATACTAGTACCACAAATCACGGTATCGCAAGTCTTTGAAAGTCACAACATCTAAAAGTATCACAGGTCACGGGAAATAATTTTACACAAGTAAAGATGGAACAACTTTTAGAATTACAAGTCGTGAGAAAATTCCTAGTCAAGTGTTACAAATTCAAGTATTTAAAGTTACATAAAATACATAAGAACATTATTGGTACATGTATGTTGTACTGGGGTTAAAATTTATAATAAAACATGGAAGGGGGAACAACTTACGGTGTCATATGACACTTTGGGACTGACAGTAGTATGAAGTAATACAAGTCACGTGGAACAATTGAATGTATCACAGATTACACGGAAGTTATCACATATTACGGAAATGATATGTCACGGACAGAATTGAAAGTGTAACATGTAACATGTAATGGGGTACAGTTCATCTTAAATGATCACATAAAACATTGTAAATAAATCACGTAGAACTTAAAGTATAACAAGTCACGTGGAATAACTTAAATCATCACATATCTGGGGGAACACTTCAGTTATCACGTGTCACAGACAACATTCTTGCAGTAACATATGAACGACTTTGGGAATAAAGTCATATTTCAATTTTATTGCATGTACTTTACAGGTATGAATGTAGTGCAACCAATGAAATAATCTGTTATATGGACATGTCGGCACAGTCCCATGTACAACGATTGGATAAAACGACAAAAAAGAAAAACAACAATAACTCTCTGGAAGATAACGAGACGGAAATTGTTGTACCTGATAATGTGAGTCAAACATTTATAAAATAAGCCTAGCTTGAAGATCTGATAATTACCTATATCTCTCATATTTTATTATTTTTAAATATCATTATATAATATTAGTGCCATTCGAGTTTAAATAGTATCTAACGTTCTGATTACATTGTTCAGTGATAATGTTAGTTTGAAATATTTTAACGATGTTAGATGTACTTCTTAAAAATTGTTAGTAAAGTTTAGTTTAAACATATTTATTTCAGCTTGATTACAAAACAAGTTCCCTTGCAACTTATATTAATCACTTTCGAGTCCGCTTCCTGGAACCAACCAGTACTGGTGTCATATGACTTGTCTTATAATAATTATGTAATGGGGGTATATTGGTCTTGTATTCAACGATTTTAACTTGACATAGAAACATAATCTTACCAAATATTAATCATTTTTTTAAGTCTTAAAACTATTTTATAATGCGGACCACAACCATATCGCTAGAATCTGACGTCACAATGTTTAAGGATGAGTCGGAAATCTAGTAATATTGCGTCATAGTTTCCTTAATAAACACAAAACAAACAAATAAACAAACAAACAAAACAAACAAATTCGTTGTAAGAGATTAAATGATTCAGCAGCCAGCAATCATTGATATTTTGTCATGAGTAAAATTTTAAGTACGAGGATGTAGAACTAACCAATAGTTTTAAGTTTCGCTTTGTCTAGAGTTATATTTTAGCTGATTTTTTACAGACGATATCTTACGGGTTTTCAGAGACAGTATTTTAAGACATAATGAGCCAATTTAAGGTTGTAAGGGCTTTTCCTGAACTGACTCCATGTAGTTCTTGTGTTATCGCTGCCGTGCACGTGCTCATTGAAACAATCAATAGTCAAGTTATTTCTAAATGACCCACATCAAATGTTTGTGCTATCCCTTTAAACTGTTAATGTTTTTTCCCTTTTTATGATTTTTTTTAAAGATTTGAAACTTGAATTAGATTTCTTAGAAAGTAGAACCAGCTATAAAGTGGATATGTTACGATAACCACTATTGACAAGTACATACTTTGCCGGTATTTATAAAAATAATAAGATTTATATGTAAAATGAAATGTGTTTAAGAAATAGTTTGTTCATATCGAAAGATAAATTGTTATTTTCTGCTTTTACTTTGTTCAACTGATATAATTACACTGAATACACTTATATTTTCAATTAAATAAAAGACATTCACATATTTAACTTGTAGAAAGAGACAAACGTCAAAGAGTCATCACCTGGTAAACAGAAACACCCTGTTAAAGACAGGGCGGACAAACCGTCAGTAGAACAAAAAGGCCTTCTTGAGGAATCACAAGGTAAATATATAGGAGATCTAAGAATTTAATGCATAAATAACTTATTTCAGAAATACACAGTAACTGTCTTATACATGTCCGAAATAATAACTGCAGTTGACTTCCAGTCTGAAGACGTTTATAGTTTATATTCGAATCCATTCCTGGAACCAACCAGTACTAAGCAATTGATATAAAGTATCTTGCTCAAGGAATCAACAGATCTGAAGTTGTTTATAATAACTGGTAGTTAAAATGATACATTTGAGTAGAAAACAGTATTTTAACACTATTTTCAATTGTCTTTATTAAAATCATCAAAAAATGAAAGTAAGTAGTCGTTTAATGTTGTTTGTATATTGTACAATAATGAGTACATGATCCAGTTGAAGAATATTTGCTTTGTTTAGGTTTGATACAGCTATATAATAATTACCAGATGACATATTATATCTTCCTTTCCAAATATAGAACATACTTAGTTTAGATAGAACTAATACAATAGTAATGGGATAGTGGGTGGCATAGTTATATGTGATATTTGCTTAATTTTTATATCAAAAAGACTATCTATCAGTCAGATATAAACATTTCAAGCTAATTTTAAACAAATCATATGTTTATCTGTCTGCCGTGACAATAACATTGTTCTATTCTGAGTTATTATCCTCGTTCATAAATTGTTAAGTTTCAATCAAAAATGGGTAACCATTGCAATTTTTATGTTTCTCTTATATTCAAAATGTTTCAATATTTTATTTCAGAGCTTTTCCAAGATTTAAGTCAAATGCAAGAAACGTGGCTTTCGGGCGGTGAGTAATTACCACATAAATGACTAATTTTATCTTATGTTATACAGTTTACTATATAGCACGTTAAACGGAATGTGTGACATGTCAATATTGCGTTTAAAATATACCGTCCTCCAGCCACTGAAATATCCTACCTTTATGATATCAATATATTTAACAGATGTTCATAACTGAACTAAGTCTGTATATGAAAAAATATATAAACATATATGACAAAGTAAAGAGAAAAAAAATATTATTGATTCATGAACACATTCCAGTTACAGTGCTATATATAAATTAATTTTATTTTATTTTATTCGTGTCAGATTTTTAATGGTAGTGAGAGAAACAAAGTGGGAGATAATATATCAATGATTGTATATTTACACCAAGCATTTATGTTCGACAAGTGTGACATACAGACTTTTAAGCTATTTCTAACTTTTACTTATATTTCGTTATTTGGTCCTGCATTTCAATTATTTTGAAGACGATTGTGATGAAAGAAAATTGACTAGATGTATAAAGTGTGGAGAACATCGACCGGGCGGTAGAACATCAAGTATTAAGCACATCTTATAAAAATCTAATCAGAGTCAATTATTATCCGCTGAAATCTTACTGTAGGATTAGTGTCGCGTGTTCTCTCTAGGCCGCCTTCACCAACTCTGGAATGCAAAATATGGCAATGAACATTGTTGTGCTGTTACTTAATTCTCCCGCAAAATGTAAGTTTTTTCTTTGATGTTCTTAAAGTTAATGCAATTAAAAAACGATTAAAAGAAGCTAGGGACGGCCTTTGTCATCACATTTTTATTTTGTGAGGAATAGCTGCATCAGAAAGCAATGTATTTACAAGTATTTTATATAAACAAAGCTACAAAAGATAACGTTTGTTTTAATAATACAAGAGTATGTTCAAATGTAACAGCAACGATTAATGTCCCCTAATTCATCAAAATATACACATGTAGTGAATTTATACACAAACTTTGAACTGAATCATAAACTTAAATTTATACTCTTATACTCGTATACTCTAACTTACAATACAAATGAGCATCCCTATGTGATCATGCGAACAAATAAAAGATAAATGATGTTTTTAAGTTGATTGATCTACAATTGTAACAGTTCCATAAGTATTTCAAAAAACATGTATTGATGAAAATTAGAAATGTATCATTATATAATATTAAAAATTTCTTGAAATAATCGTGTTCTTTGTGAACATTAATATGTTGAATAAAAATATTTTGTTCTAGAACGATTTATCATCTGCTATATATCGGATCATGTATCTCACACTACAAACAATATACATGTATAAATCTTTCGTGATTTGTTGCCTCACATGATACTTATGATCATCAACATTATTATGTCTGGTTTCTTACATACCTTCCTTTATGGAAAATGTTTTGGGCTGTAAAAACAAATGCATACTGCAGTTTCAAACTGAAGATCAAATTTAAATACGGGGTCGGCCATACTGACAGCATAAAGTGAACTAATTAATAGGTTATAGTAAAAAAAAATGAGGTACATGTTTATTGTTTCTCATTCATCTTCTAATGTTACATATTTTCCCTAGAAATATATTCTGTATTGACATTAAGTATGAAGTTTCTTTTTTCTCCCGAAAATTTGGAAGTTATAAAAGGTCTTGATAGTATCGTATAAGTATACCTCATCTCACACCCAACCTAATACCAATCATGAGCTGTTTATTTCACCAGAAGTTCCTATGATGGAATCAACTTTATTGTATATAAGTTTCGTTTCTGACAGACATGTCTGCTGCTGTCAAATGAAAATAATACATAGATATTTACGATAAATATATTGTTACAAACAGTAATTTCATATTGATCAGTTGCTCATGTAAATACACCATTTACTAATGTGAAAATGAATATTAAAAACACAAAAAAAAAAATCTTAAAGCTGTTACCTGCATCATGTAAGGGCATGTGACAACCACGTCACTGTACATCTCGTATTTTATTATAAGAGGCCATGGCAGATTTACAGAAGCGGGTATATATGAAACATTTTTAATTGTTTAATTTTAGCCAAATATGACAGAAATGTTCAATAAAGATTAGAGTGTATATATGTAAAGAAATTTTATAAAGATATGTTTCTATTGGTATTGAAAGGCCTCTTGTATGCTTATTGATTTATCCACGATAACTGTTGTAATGAATATTAAATCTTCAAATCTGTAAATTGAAATAAGCTTAAAAATAAAATGATTAAAGTATAAAGGACTCAGTCTCCATATATAGAAAACAACATTGACTTAAACAAGTATCTTCTATAATACATCTACCTAGAGGAACATGTTCAGAGAGTACTTATTTTTAAATACATTGTACATGTAATATGTGTCAGATAGGTACATTTACGTGAAACAGCAACATATAATTTGAAAGACAATACATATAGATGTTTGAACCGTATATTTTTTTGTACGGAAAATACCCAATAAGCCTCTTAAAATGATAAAATTTTATCTCTCACATCCTTCTTATTTTTGGAGTCCCGTTACAGTTTGGACAAACTTACTTATCGGCCATATATAGCTGGACTATCTTTACCTTAATTCGCATTTTGTCATTTAGTACAGTAGTGGTTTCGTATTTTGTATGGAAGTCAAAATACAACTTCGTTTACATTTTGCTACTTTTATGTAAGAAATTACTACAAAGTCATTATAAAAACAGCAATGATGCATCTTTGTCCTTTCTAAATAAGAAACATAAATAAATTTCTGAAGTTTAATGTACCTTTGATAACAAATATTTTTTGTAGGTTGTTGATATAATATTTGTTGCATGTTAAAAAAAACTTTCCTCGTATATTTGGTGAGAACAGTAATAGGAACGTGGGGATAAAGTTTACTCTTCTTGTTAACTTGTGTAATATTTAGAGGCCCATTAAGCCTCAAGAATGAATTTATTTTCATTTCTCTAAAGCTTTTATTTTTGGTGCATTTCTATAGTATCCAAAAGGTTACTTATTGACCAGTTACCTGAACCATCTTTTTCTTCAGACGCTTTTTGGCAATAAGTACAATTGCATTGCATTGAGTTTTGTATTTAAGTCAAAATTCTTCTTTCTTAACATGGTGCTACTTTTGTGACATATAAGTTCACATTAAGTGCAAATCTCTTCAGGTAACAAGCATCTACATGCTTGAAAACCATTATTTAAATATTATAAAACTCACGTTTCCCCCTTCTAAAGAAGTAAATTTATTTCTGAGACAAAGTGTGCCTTATACCACCAGAAAAGCATTATTATCTCAATTTGCGTCTATATGAAATAGTATGTATTATTTTATAGAATAAAACCATATAATTAATTATAAGATTCAATTTTTAAAAGTCATCTTTGAAGATAAAAAATACTGTTTTCGCTTTTGTACCACAATATGAGAAAGAACAGTTTATTTTACAAGCGTTTTAATCTAATAATTTTATAAAGGTTGACATATAAGACTAGGATAGCATGTCTTTGTAAGTGTCGATGAAATCAGCTTTTACAATATATAGTTAATGAAAATGAAAAAGTGCATATTCATGAATACATCTCTATGTACTAGTTTTTGTTCTTACATTATAGACAAACTGTTGACCTAAGACTTGATTGAAAAAAATAAGATTATCATGGTTATGCACTTTGATTTATAAATGTTTATTAAAGGGTGAATTTAAAGAAGATGATAGTTGAAATATTTGAAGGGTAGGTTCCCCAATGCATTGACATTTATTTCTACATCATTAATATGAAAGGTTTGCTGGTTAATCTGAGATTATCACGATGTCCGTGTTTATAAATTGTTTGGACGTAGAATTTAGAGCGCCATCTAGTAGATAAATCATAGCGTATATCTGCCCGTGTCGTATTCTCACAACTTAATGTGATAAAATGAAATTTAATGTCTTAAAATTTTCTGTTTGCTAGCAACGCAAGCAAGGTGAAGATTTTTGGTGTATCATATTTAAAAGTAAGTGATACGTGTATAAAATTTGCCTCACATATATCATTAATAAATGAATTTTGATGACCGGAATCCATTAGTTAAAATTGTTCCCATATTATACCATCTCTTGATAACATAACTGAGAGTTCAGATGGCTCCCTATATCAAAACGATTGTTTAACATAATACAAGTTTAATAGATCAAGTCAAAAGTTTAATGTAACATTTCTACACCAAACCAATGCACAATTCTTGAATCATTTAATCTTGGCAAACTCTTTTTTGCATTTAAGTTATTTTTGTGATATTTTTTAAAAGAAAAGTCTTTGGTCGGACTATTAAACTATGTATAAAGCACAAAATGCAGTCTAATTTTCTGACATTTTAAAGTATAGCTTGTTTGATTGATCGTGAAGCTATTCTAATCTATTGATCACGAATAACGTCAAAAAATGTAAGACAGTATTTATAGAATATAGTAAAATATAAACCAAAGTATAATAATATTATACAATTATTGACTAGTGAGCCATTAAATATGATGTGATATTCACCGGCAGGTGACATATTGACCGAGGCGATAGCCGAGGTCAATATGACTTTCTGCCGGTGAATATCACATCATATTCAATGGCTCACTAGTCAATAATTGTTTTATTATATGAATAGGCTAAGAAATAAAAAAAATCACAAAAAGTACGTCAACCTTATATACATGTACTAATTTTGCCACGTTGAAGCGCGGTAAAAAAGACGCACGTGTTAGGCGTGCAACGACTTCGCGAACGCTGCGCATACAAAAGTTATTCAAGTTTATACTCAACATTGCGGTGTAGCCTTTAAGTAAAATGGTAATGTATTGATATTTTAATCGAGAAATATGCCATAAAGAACAAAAAGCAACAATTATTTTTTAAGAAACACGCGTATTTAACAGTCTACGGTGTATGATCATTGAAAATGAGTCTCAATCTATTTTTAGACTGGGAAAATCCAATTCAGCCAGTGAATATGATACTACACCCAG